CTTTCTTTCACTTAACTAGTTTCATCTTTTCTTGTTATACATCTCTTGTTTAATATTGGACAATAATTTCATTAAAAATGATGTGCGGCATAATTTTTATTGTTATTGTTATTATTATTGGGGTATTATTGACCGAGGATGAGGATAGATGGTATGCTTTATTTTCATGCTCTTTTCACTCTATGTCCATTCTTGTTGATTTACTTGTTATACTTAATTACATTTGGAACGAGATTGTTGTCTTCCCCCCTCTTCATCAAATGGTGGCCACTCCCATCAAGTTTTAGATGCCTTTAGCGAGGGAGTGCTATGCGGATGTGGAGAGAGATTGTGTAAAGTGTTTATTTGATCGATAATATGGTGAAGATATTGATGAATTGGCCGTTTGACATACCTCAGACTTCGTGTTTCGGTTATAGGAGTAGGCTTCTCATCTGTCGTGGTGTTTCATTGTGTGTGACAAGATCAAGGGCGGATGAGATATTTTCCTCTAATGAGGAATACGTGAATCTATTATTTTCGAAAATTTGGGCTACGACTATGGCCTGCGCTATCATGGTGTTTCACATAACTTTTTTTAGATATCACGGTTTTTCGCTATGGCCTATGCTATCATGTGGGATACATACTTGTACATCTACTTCTTTCTAAGCTAAGAGTTATGTGGCATTACTGCCTTTTAAACTAGTTATTTTTATTTGAAGAAAAGAGGTTTATAGTAAATTGAACCTTCCCCCGAATGTTGAAAACATTGAATTCGTGGCGTTTGGGCTCTATGCTGCACCTTTGTCTTTGGACTTTCTTCTATAAAAACAAGCAGAAAGATTGGTTGCAGATACTATGCTGGTAACGTTGGTCATGGGAAAGATAGTGGTTGAGGGTGAGAGTTTGAAGATGTAGGGCCTTATATGGTGGAATAATTTGTCAAGTCCGGTAATTGGGCTAATGATCAACGATTGAACAAGTGTCATTATACATCTGAGTCTGGAGCAGTGCAGCGTAGATGAGATGGTGCCCCACTGGTCATCAGGGAAAAGGTAAGAGGAGAAAATCAGAAATACATAGGTTTGGAAACGGGTTAAATTATTTTGATACAAAAGAAAGTATACCTATCTTTTTACAAGGAATAAAGATCTGATGGTTACTAAGAGTGAGTACAATGCAAGGTCGAGAAAACTTGAAAATTTTAGAAGAAGTCAGTTCTTCCTCTTTTGCTGGTTTTTTGTGAACGTAGATTGCTGAAAGTTGAATGCACAGTCAGGCAACCATTAAATTGGATTTGTCTGGTCCTGCTTAACCTCCGGTTTTAGGGCTCATTTTATGCAGCGATTGGTTTTTGTGGGAAAACCATATGCCTGAGGTAATGTCTTGACCCCCACTGGCTGCAACTATAAGAATGTCAGGGTGGTGTAAAGTACGGTTCTGGTTGGAATAGTTCTGCTAGATTCATTGAATCTTGGTTACTTAAAGACATTTCTTCTCAGTTCAGACATGTGAAATAAATTAAAGAAAAGGCTATTAAGAAATGCGAACGATATATGTAAAAATGTTATTGGATGTAGTGTCATTCCCGTTTGCCAGAATTATGGCTGAAAGCATAATCAGGCAACCACATTATAGAGTTTGAACAGATTATGCACAAAGGGAGGATTTCACTTCGTAGTCTCATTGGAAGAAAAGTTACGAAGTAGGGTTCTACCAATGCTTACAAGAACTTCAGATCTACTGCAGATAAGGGATTTTGGAAAAAAGCGACCAAGATAGACTAGGAATGGGGAGGTGATCGGGTTTATGAACTTAGAAAAAACCTTTTCAGGTGAGCATTCAGGAAGTTAAATCTTGTTGATCGCATGGTTTTTTAGTTATTGAATACACAGATGAATGATGAAATGTGCTCCATAGGGGTCCTGGATTCATTCAGTAGCGGTTCAATTTCTTCAACGGAAAAGGAAAACAGACAAGCAAAATTTCAGAGCTGCAGGAAGATGCTCCAGGTTTGTGTCAGGCCTCTTCAAGAAAGAACCGACAAGTGTAGAAGAATGCTGTTGGGCACGTTTGATCAGGTCTGCTGGAGTAAATGATCTGGTTGCTTAAATGTCTCATGATTATATGTACCTTGTTTGAGTAAGTGAGAGGTTTCTTGTGACTCTATGCATTGGAAAGGTTCTAGATATTCCCTCTCTTGCAGTCAACCTGTTAGAAGCAGTTCATAAAAGAAGGAAAAAGATAGATAACGCGTTTCGGTTGGGTGGTGACATTGTTGCATTGTGACTCAATAACGGGCTGCAGAGTTTCCTATGGTTACACTATCATTGCTGGGAGTGACATGGTGATTTAGGAGGGAAATCAGGATTTGGATAAAGGGAGCTGTGATTTCTGCAGAACCTTGAAATTATGGACAGTCTGCTGTCAATAGAGTGGATTAATGGCCGGAAGAGAGCCAAATCAAATTTATTGATTCTCGTTTCATGGACTGTTGAGGTTCTTAATGATAATGATGATATGATGAACCCGTCAAGAGGGTATGTTGGGTGTCAAAAATGGAGACCATGCTGCAAAAGATTGATAATATCTCATAAATGCAGTGCAAGGAAGCTCGCTAATGATATTGGGCACAAGAAGAGGGTTACAGTTATTTTGAATAATAACTCAGTTGAGTGGAGAACAACACTTGAGCCCACCTATCCATTATTATCAGTGTCTAGTTCACGTGATAATAATGTTGAATGGATTTTATAATGAAACTGATATTTCAATATGATATTATAGGTGCTAGAAAATGATATTTTAAAAGTCACAGTTGGGAGGAACTCGATTGCAACTGATTTCTCTGGGGCAGATGTGGATTTAGTAATTGGGTCATTGAAATGAAGTTGTTTGGGGCGTGGAAAAAGGTAATAAACTTATAGTTCTTAACTCCTTGAACAGAAACTGCTTTTAGATGCTTCTCCAGAAAAACTATTCAGTTCAAATCGATATATTCTTGGTCATGAATATTATAGGTGCTTCCTTGACTCTGTAACAATGGATCTGATTCATAGATCTAGTGTCTGCATGAATCAGAATTACAGTCTTCAGCTTGGAGAGAATAGAATTATTTCTTGAATATGGGGAAATGTTCTTTCTAGAGATGATTGTTGGGTTAGAATTGACGGCTGGAAATTTGGGACCAGAGAAATAAATGTGTTCTAGAGCTGGCCTTTAGTCCTATGCACTACTTTCGATTCTGACTTGTTATCAGCAGTAAACAGAACTTCACATACACAAGAATTCACTGCTTGTTTAATTATCTATTCCTCTTGGTTTTCAAGCTTCCATGAAAAGTTCGAAATCCGAATCTATAACATTTCTTTGTCTGCAAGGGGGAACGCCTATGAACTGAGGTATTGCACAACCTGGAATGGAAGAAGTTATGCGGAAGAAAGAAGTGGAGTAATATTATCAGGTTGAAGTGTTCACTAAGTTCATCTAGTTTAGTTGTTGGGGAGAGTAGGAAATGTGGAAGATAGATTCTGGATAAAGATAAAAGAGTAGCTTGTGTATGGAGCCAAACAGTACAAGTCTCTGAAATGCCATTTACATTTATTGAAAATTTGGAACACATGCTGAGATATCGGTTTGTATTTGTTTCTATAGCTTTCAGTGGCAATTAGAATGGAGAAAAAAATAAAGTTCTGAGAGAATAGACATTGGTTAAGCACTATCTTTTACTAAGACCTCTTGTAGTGGCGTTATCTAGGGACAGAGAGCAATATGGGGATGGCATTATATCCAACTATGGACGGTGAACTACATCTTAGAAGTAATCTTACAGATGAAGGATATGATCATTCTTGGTCAAGTACGAGCTTTGCTAAGACCTCTCTTAGTGGGGTTTTACTAGGGACAAGGAACAACTTTCCACTGAGGACGATGACAGCTATCCCTTAGTAGTAATGTTACAGACGGAGAAATCTGAGAACCCCTTCCATCACAGTAGGTCTGTAAAATGTTGTAAACTGACCACAGAGGAAGAGGACTCTGGAAAGCGGAGATAGGGCCTTAAAAGGGCATTTATCAGCTAGTTCCTTCAAGAATTTCAGTGACAGAGAATGCAGAGCTCTTTGGAGCATCTTGATTTAGGTAAAGAATCATCAAAAGTTTCAATAGAAATTGCTTACTGATAATTACTAAATTGTGACAACCTGAACTCCATTCAACGTAATCTTAAGGACTTCTGTATCCCTTTTGGCTTCCAAATGCAGACTAATGATCATTTGTTTGCTGGCTGTGGAACTTTTTCATTTTTCTCTAGTATTTAATCAATGAATGTTGAATTTAACACGCTGATTATTTGGCACAAGTTTTCCAATGATAATGCCGCGAAGCACTTGTGGATTTTTTGTGAAAAGCTTGCCTTTTTTCTCCATCTATGTCGTAACCACTACTTTATAATTTGGATGCACTACGGTTAAAAAGTTTGGCGATCTATTTCCTTTTTTGTTGAGTCGTCATATTCGCCTATGTTTTTCCAAAAGCTTCTTGCAATCTTTGTTGCGTAGGAAGATGTTTTTATGTGACAGTGAGTTATAGTTCTGACAACCTTTTAAAACCATTGTGATTATATGCCCTTGAACAACGGCCATCTAATTGAACAAGCTTTGCTCAGGACCTCTGATGAATCAAAATTTATTTTTAATGATCAATGGATCCTTTTTGTGCTTCTGTTGGTGGGTGAGAATCCATGTAAAAAATTTGTATTTGTTGGGGGCAATAGTATGCCTTTTTATAGTTTTCAGAGCATAAAGCCTGTTCATTTTTTTACCAAGCTTTCATTACATCCGACTCTTCCTGCACTATGGATTTATTTTTTTCGTGTAACTAGAACCTATTGATCGTCTTCTTCCATGCCTTTCTAAGAAGCATCCTCTTTGTTTGCAGGACGGACGCAGAATTTTGATTGGTGACTGTGCACTCTTTCAGGCTGGTAACTCACCCCCTTTCATTGGAATAATCCGTTGGTTTTCACCAGGCAAGCAGGATCAGTTAAAATTAGGTGTGAATCGACTGTATCGACCTTCTGAGGTAAAGCTTGCTAAAGGGATATTGCTGGAAGCTGCACCAAACGAAGTCTTTTACTCATTTCAGAAGGATGAAATATCCGCAGAATTACTTCTTCACCCATGTAAAGTTGCATTTCTTTGCAAGGGTGTTGAGCTACCTCAGTGGATTTCCTCATTTGTTTGCCGACGAGTGTATGACAGCACGAACAAATGTTTATGGTGGCTAACTGATCAGGATTATATTGATGTAAGTTGTATGCTACGCCGTTTCTCTGATAGCTCTGGTATTTGCTCTTTAACCATTAATACTTCTAATATTTGTTTACAGGATCAGCAGGAAGAGATAGCTAAATTATTAGGCAAAACCCAAGTAGAGATGCATGCAGCAGTGCAGCCAGGAGGGCGATCTCCTAAACAACTGAATGGCCCAGCTCAGCAACCCAAACCAGGGACTGATAGTGTACAGAATAATAATGCGTCCCTCCCTTCGCAGGTTAAAGGGAAGAAGAGGGCAGAGAAAGGTGACCAAGCTTCAGATTCTATTAAGCGAGAGCGCCTGTTGAAAGCTGATGACGGAGACTCTAATAGTTTTAAAGTAGAAAGCACATTAAAGGCTGAGATTGAAAAAATAACGGACAAAGGTGCTCTTATAAATGTTGATGCTGTCGAGAAGTTGGTGCAGCTTATGCAAGTTGATAAAGGCGAAAGGAAAATTGATTTAGCTGGACGGGTACTGCTGGCGGATGTGATTGCTGCTACCGATAAAAGTGATTGCCTTGGCAGGTTTGTGCAGCTGAGGGGTGTTCCTCTGCTTGATGATTGGCTCCAGGAGGCGCATAAAAGGAAGAATGGTGATGGTACTACTCCAAAGGAATGTGAAAAATCAGTTGATGAACTTCTCCTAGCTCTGCTTCATGCACTTGATAAGTTGCCAGTCAACCTTGAAGCTCTTCAGACTTCTCAAGTTGGGAAGTCGGTGAATCATCTACGTAGTCACAAAAACTCCGAAATTCAAAAGAAGGCAAGGAGCTTGGTTGATACTTGGAAGAAGCGTGTTGATGTAGAAATGACAAAGCTTGAGATGACGAAGCTTAATGATGCAAAGTCAACTGGTACAAACCAAGCTGCCTCGTGGCCTGGAAAACCGGGTTTCTCTGAGGTTTCTTATGGAGGAAATAAACGTTCTGGGTCCAGTGAAGCTTCTTTGAAAAGTCCTGTGGCTCAATCTTCTACATGCAAGTCTTTACCTGTGAAGGCTAGCCATGGAGATTCTGTCATGAAGTTAAATTCAGGGCAGTCCGCATCTGTGAAATTGCCATCAACATTGGCCACATCTTTGAGTATTGGCACAAAAGATTCACAATCTAAAGCAGGAGGCAGTAGTTGGACTGCTGAATTGCCATTGACAGCAATAGAAGAGAAGAGTAGCGGCTCTAGTCAGTCCCAGAACAATAGCCAATCTTGTTCCAGTGACCATGGAAAACAAGGTTCTGCTTGGAAAGAGGATGCAAAGAGCTCGACTTCTGGCTCAACTCATGCAAACAAGGTCTCTGTTGGCACCTCTCGTCAGCGAAAAGCATCCAATGGTCTAGTGGGTACTGGTTCTTCTGGAGCTCAGAAAGACAGCAGCTTGAGCAAGCCTAGTCCTTTGAGTCGGAATCTGCAATTGGAGAAGGTGCCACAGCATGGGCTGCCAGGTGAAAGAACGGGTGATGCGCCCTCTGCAGATCATGGAAATAATCAAAGATTGATCGTGAGACTCCCAAATCCTGGACGGAGTCCAGCACGGAGTACTAGTGGAGGTTGTTTTGAGGACTCTTCTCAGACAAGCACATGGTCATCATCTCCTGTGGCTGCTGAAAAAGTTGGTCACATCAACCAGAGGACGAAATTAAAAAATGATGATTGTCGGGCTAGTGTTACCACTGATGTTAATGCAGAGTCATGGCATAGCAATGATCTGAAGGGTGCTGATGGGGTTGACGGTGCTGACAAGTCAACTACTGCTGTTCGTGATGAGAAGCACATGAGCACCGATAAAAGTGGGAAAGCAGCTGATGCGTTCAAACCCACCAGTTTATCAGAATCGAAGCCCGTAAAAACATTTGATACTTTGAGCCCCATTAATGCCCTGATTGAGAGCTGCGTCAAGTATTCTGAAGCTAGTGCTTCTTCTGGTGGGGATGATTCAGGCATGAACCTTCTTGCCAGTGTGGCTGCAGGAGAAATATCCAAGTCCAACTTACTCTCTCCTAGTGGTTCTCCCCGACGAAACTCACCTGCTTCTGAGGACCACCCCGACCCTTGTACGACAAACAAGGTCAAATCAACAGTTTCGAGTGGTGGTGCTTTGACCAATGTTTCTGAATATCCTGAGGACTGCACGGATGATGATTCTGAGAAACATGAACCCAGTGCTGTTCCTGGAGTTTGGGAGCAGCAGAACTCGTCAGAAATTGTTCCCAATTCTTGTGATGACAGTCAGAGTATTCAGTCTCCACAAGAATCCAGAGCTACAATTGATAACAGGGCTCAACATCTCGGTTCTGTGGATATTCCATGTAAAAATGCAGAATCTATATCAAAAGCAGAGAGTAAAGTCAATGCTGCTGAGGCTGAGGGGCGTGTACCTTTGACGACTTTATCAGAAGACGTCAAGGGGGTTTTCCCAGAAGATGATTCACCCAAACAGCTCAGGAGAAAGCGGAAAGCTAGTTCTCCTGTTACTGATGCCGTGCAAGACTCTAAACATAAGGCTGGAAGCCCAACATCCGATGAAAGTAAGCATGCTGATTGTGTTCGTGAAATCACCATCAGTAGTAGTATCCAAGCAGGTGATGGGAGTGATTTAAATTGTTCTGCTCGTATCAGCAATTGTGATGAGTCGGTTGAAATAGCTTCATCTAGTCCTCCGGGTAAACAAGATGTTGCAGACGGAGTGTTGCATGATGCTGCTACACCTACTGGGCAACAACTACCTTCTGATGTGGCAGTAAGTTCCAATAGTTTTAGCAGAAATTCTATCAATGCCACGCTGGTTTCTTCCACCAATGCTGGTTTAGAAGCTGAAGATGAAGGCAAGAAAGAAAAATCTGATAGCTTAGTGTTGAAGAGTCGGATGGATCAAACTGATACTGAGAAGAAAGTCCTTGGTAGTCTCGCTGCACCCACCGCTGATGATAGAACATGCTCATTGACACCCTCCACAGACGATGGCAGTGATGATAATTATAAGGAGGTAAGCCACCCTTGTTCTACATCAGCCAATCATGAAGAGCCATCCATTGCATCAGCACATACGGAAGAGTGCACCAAGTCTTTGAACTCTGGGTATGAAGTAGATCTGGTGCGAGAAGAAGTTGCTTGTTCCACGGAGGTTTCATCAGCAGTCGCCTCCCCTGTACAAGATACTTCCACTAAGCTTGATTTTGATCTGAACGAAGGGTTCTCTGTTGATGAAGCAAGCACAGCAGAGCCGGTGGCTTCAGCTGCTCTGGAATCTTCATCTTCTGTCCATCTTATGAGCTTGCAACCTTTTACCATGTCTCTTATCTCAAATACTTCACCTGTTCCTATCACTGTTGCAGCTCCTGCTAAAGGCCCTTTTGTTCCTCCTGAGACTCTCCTAAAGAGTAAAGGGGAGCCTGGATGGAGAGGATCCGCTGCCACTAGTGCATTCCGCCCTGCAGAACCACGGAAGATTTGGGAGTATTTGTCTGGTACGTCCAACTCTCCATCATCGGATGCCGTTGTTGCTGGTAGACAACCGCGTCCTCCTCTGGACATTGATCTGAATGTGGCTGACGAGAGGGTTACGGAAGACTTAGCTCAAGGGGGCTTTTCTCAGGAGGCAGTCTCAGAGTCGAGGGTCATGTGTAACCGTGATGCCCAGGTGAGGAAAAGCTCTGGAGTGCTGGATCTTGATCTAAATAGAGTGGATGAAAGCACAGAAAACGGGCAGTCAGCTAGCACAAGCCAGAGATTAGATGTGCCTCTTCCACGGATGAGATCATCTCCTGGAGCGTTCCCTAATAGCGGGGCTAACATGCTGAGAGATTTTGATTTGAACGATGGGCCTGGTGTCGATGAAGCAGGTGCAGACCAAGTTCCTCGAGGCCAGCTCTCCATGGGCAATAGCATACCGTTCCTACCAACCCTTAGATTGAATAACAATGAGCTAGGTAACTTATCCACGTGGTTTCCGCCTGGCAACTCGTATCCAGCTGTTGCAATGCCATCCTTTATGCCCGAGAGAGTGGACCAGCAGCCTTACTCAATTGTTGCAGCTCCTGGCGGTCAGAGGATATTGAGTTCAGCAGCCGGCGGTGGCCCTTTTGGGGGTGATCCTCAACTCTATCGAGGGCCAGTGCTGTCATCTTCTCCTGCCATGACCTTCTCACCTGCTGCAGCTTTCTCTTATGCAGGTTTCCCTTTCGGCTCAAGCTTCCCTTTGGCCTCAACTTCCTACTCTATGGGGTCGACCCCCTATGTGGACTCTGTATCAGGAGGGGTGGCCCCTCCAGGCTTTGCCGCTGTCCCTTCCCCGGTCATGGGGCCGGGTGGTGTGACCTCTTCTTCATATGTGAGGCCCTACGTTATAAGCCTCCATGAGGGCAGCAGCGGAGGTTCTGAGAGCAGTCGAAAGTGGGGTCAGCAGAATCTGGATCTCAATTCAGGGCCAGGTAGCGTAGAGATTGAAGGGAGAGTTGAGAGGCTTCCATTGCCTTCAAGGCAACTCTCGGTTCCCGGTTCACAGGCTTTTGTTGAGGAGCAGTCAAGGTTGTACCAGACGGCGGGCAGGGCTTTGAAAAGGAAGGAGCCTGAGGGTGGCTGGGATGGCGAGAGATTCACATGCAAATGATGATTCATTATGGCTGTTCCTCAAGGAGCCTCAGCAGTGACTGGAATGGGAAGGAGTCGGGTCTGGTGAGCCCACTGGTTCTCCTTCCTTTCTGTTCTTATTCAGGTAGGTTTTATGATACGCACCTCGGTGCAAGGGGGAATGAGTTATACCTACAAATTGCAGCACAGATAGATGCTGGGCGGTCCCCTCCCTCCCTCCCTCTGTCTCTGTCTCTCTGTCTCTCTCTCCCCTCCCTCCCTCCCTTCCTATCTCCCTTCCTCCCTCCCTCTCTTGCTGAACTACACACCGACCCACATGAGCATGTGTATCCTGGTGTTTGGATTATGGGAAATTCTGTCATGAATTCCTTACCTTACCGTGCTGTAATTCATGTAAATGTAGAGATTCCATGCTTTGAGCGATCGCTGCCCCTTGTTTGTTATTTTCCTTTTCAGCTAATCCAGTCAATTGGTCGTGTGATAACTCCCAGGAGAAATTCCCTGCTGGACGAGGACTACGGTGGTAAGTGCTACCCACTACATTATTCTTTCTAATCTGTCGACTGAAGTAGACTAAAATTCCCCAATGTTGCCCCTGAGCTATGAAAGTTTTCTCTGTTTGGGGTTCCCCCTGCTGATCACTCTCCGGTGCTCTCTGTCCCCAGGCTTGTGGGTCTCACACTTTGTTCTTGCTTCGGGTTTTCAGTCCGCCCACACCCCTGCTTATGATCAGTCATTGTATGTACATTTGTGGCGGCTTTGATCATCACCTGTTCCATGAAGTCAGATGTTCTTGGAATGCCCCTTTGCGATTTGTTTGGAGGCAAGATGACCGTTTACTTTGTGCTGGTTTGGTTTTTCTCCCCATGAGAAGACGGATCGTTGTAATCTATTACTCCCTAGTCCTTTATTTAGCAGCTTATTCCGGTTAATTTCTAGTTTGATCCAGACCCAATTGAGAGACATATTCTATGCTTTGATTTTAAATCTCTAGTTAATTTTCAGGAAACCCTACTCACCGAGCTGCCCTTCATCCCTAGTAAATCAAAAGGGTTTCCTTTTGATTGGCTCCATCCTGCCATGATTTCACTCCAAGGATAGTAAATCTAGTACATGTGAATGAAGAGTAAATTTAGTGCATGTGAATGAAGAATGCCCGTTAAGATATATGCACGTTTAGGTAATTTTTTTGTTAAAATCATAGTTCCTGAAATCATCATAATGCACTCTCAAAAATCATCCGATTAGAGATAACCTCCGGGCAGGGTACTTGAAGAAAATTCGAATCATTCGATGCCCCAATATAGTTTTCTGGTGTGCCTGTCTCAAAGCCTTAATTCTATCCGAAATGACACCCAACGTTGATCTTATGAGATCAACCATGTGGATAATATTTTACTATTTATGATTATGTGACAGGAATATGGACAACTTTTGGCGTCTATTCCTCTGCAGTGACTTGTTGGGTTAGTGAAGAATTTAGAGAGGGGAGGCAGACTCGTGGTTGTTGTTAACCTCTTATGGATACGCTAGTAGATATTTCCCTGAAAGAATGATGAAGCGGTCATCCTAGGGTAAGTGAAGTCTGGACATCTTGGTCACATTATTTATCTTAATCACACCTTTTTGCAGCAAAACATTCAATCTCCCAATGCCCACTCTCCTGAATCTCATCAAAAAATCTATAATGATGCAAAGAAAAAACATTTTTATGTGTCCAATTAATGGTTCAAGTGGAGATAAATTTGATGGTCTGTCAATATTATTAATGATCACTGAGGACTAATAAAAGGTCGCTTTGGTGCTAGAACTTAGAGATCTTAACATAACAATCATTAATTATTGTATCTTTTCAAGATTTGGACGTGAGGATTTATTTATACCATTTAAATATTACGTGCACTTGTATATATCATTTCTTCAGTATTTAATTAAAAAAAAACTTAAACATACTTCAAATTAGACAGTCCTTGGGAACGTCTACTACTTACCATGTTATTGGCAGGCAACACTGGTTTTCCTCAGGTTGCCAAAAGATTAACTTAATGACAGTGTATTGGGTCTGAAGAAAAACACAAAATAATGACACGTACCTTCACCATGTTTCATAAAAACCATTCATTTTAATGACCTTGCTAAAATTCCATTAGCTAGGACCCTGTTTCCACTAGTGCACAAGTTCTTGAAATAATTAATTTAATACAAATATTACTTTTTAAAATACATTTTTTATTTATCATGGAATTAAAACCATATTATTCAATTAGAGTTGCGAAATGACTTTGACGCTGGTTCATATGAAACCTTGAAAAACATGAAAAATAGAGGCCACACCAAAACCCTTTACGAGAGAGCGATGGACATTGTTTAGATTACATCATAAATAAAATAAACTAAAATATGCACTCTTTTCCAGGTTTTTTTTTCAAAACTTTATTTCCTAAAAAATCGAATCTGACTGGTGTCAGTTTTTCTTCAAAATCATTTTCTCCTGCGCGTGGTATTATGAGGCTTATCCTGAGAGGGGCAAGCCGAGGACCTCGTCGCTGTGGATGCCCGACAGTCATCTGGTTTCCCTCCGCGCGCCTCTCTCTCTCGCTCTCTCCATGGCAGATCCCTGCCATGAAGGAGGCCCTTATCAGATTGCAGCAAGGAGTTGGCCATGGCTGATCTCCTTCCAAGACCCAGTTAAGGCAAACCCTCAAGAGCAGAGAAGCTCCCGCCTTTCTCCCTGCTAGCCGGCGGCGACCTCCAATAATGTCGTCTCCGACGGCGACGCCCCTCTCCGTCTCCCTCGACGGGCTCGTCCTCCAATCCCGATCCACTTCTCGCTTCTGCTCCTTCAATGGCAGGGGTCCGCCTCTCTCTCCAAGCCTCAGGCTCTCCCGTCCCCTCCTTCTCCCCCTCCGCAGCCGCAGATGGCCCTCTCTCAGATCCGGAGAAGACCATTCTTCTTCTTCTTCTTCTTCTTCTTCTTCTTCTTCTTCTTCTTCTTCTTCTTCTTCTTCTTCTTCTTCTTCTTCTCCTTCTTCTTCCTCCATCCTCCCGCCATCGCAGGTCGCCTTCTCTCTTTTCGGAGACCCGCCTAGAGCAGGGACCTTCCTCGGGCCCGACGCTGGCGAGAAGCTCCGGTTCTTGGAAGGCTTCCGCTACCTCTACGAGTTCCCACACGGGTCGCTGGAAGTCCGCCTTATGGGGGCCGACGAGGTCGCCGCCACCGCCAAGCTGCTGGCCGAGTCCTTCGCCGACAGCGTCTTCATTCCCTCGCGCTACACCCACTTCCTGGAGTTCCTGGTGGCGCAATATGTCGCACAGAAGAGGGCCCAGCTTCCCCACGCGGCCACTCTCCTCGGGATCTACCGGGAAGAAGGCGCCGCCGCCGCCGAGGGGAAGCTCGCCGGTACGGCGGAGGTCTCCTTTAATGTCATGGGGTCCAATGTCTCCTCCCCCTCCCCGCCTCCCCCAAGAGACGTCCCCTACATCTGCAACATGACCGTGGAACAGTCCCTCAGGAGGTACCCATCTCCGCTTCACTGTTCTTCTGCAACTCCCCGGACCTTTTTGGCGTTTCTCCATCTTCTTTGTTCGTTAGAATTATCTGCTATTTCTGTGGTGATTCTTGGGCACAAACAGGGCCAAGTTCTGGCCTTGAAAGACGGGCTTCTGGTTCCCGTACCGGGTCACCAGGTGACCAGTGGAGCTCTCTTGCGTATAAGTTGACCTGGGCAGGTGATTGGCGTTATAATAGTCCCCCATCAGAGCGGATAAACACAACCCACCCTACTCCATGGTTAAAGGGATCATCCTGTTTCCACTTATAGCCTAGTACTTACTACTGTTCATGAGATTGAATAATAAATATTCCTCCAAACACTTTTAATTCTTGGTCTTGCCTTCTCGGGCAAGATTTTATGATCTAATTCGTCGTCTTCTCCAGGATCAGAGGATTTCTATCCGGAATGACAGAATATTTCTATCAGTAATTCAGTCCCATCTCCTCCCCAATCGACTTCCTTTAGATGGATTAATAACTAAATCCATTTTCTTCGTCACTGGACTATCCCCATGATCTCTCTCTCTTCCTTGTATGGTTAGCTTCAATTTTTTTTTTCCTGCATCATATGTGATCCTTATCTTCTATCCTGCCCATTGTTGAATGGATCCTCCTACACTCATATCTGGGGGTTTCCTTGGATTCAATTCCATGGGCAGGAGGGGTATTGGGTGGCATTTGCTGAAGGCCTGCGAGGAGCTGATATCCAAGATGAGCCCTTCAGCTGAGGTCTACCTCCACTGCAGGGTGATCGACGAGGGGCCTCTGAGCATGTACAACAAGGCCGGCTACTCCATCATCGAGACCGACAGTTTCTTCGTCTGGTTGAAGCTTCAGCAGCGCAAGCACTTGATGCGCAAGCAGCTTGCTGCGTCCTGTGAATGATCACCCACCCCATTTGAAGTGGCCCACAAGAGAGGGACCCCATTAAGAAAGATTGAGCGAGCTATTAGAGGAAGCAGGTGAGTTCTTCCTATGCCTGGGGGCAGGATTATGAAGCTTTTTTTTTCCCTTTCTTTTCTTCTATTGGCATTTCTCTGGAGCTCGAAGGCCATGTACAAAATTATCATCGACTGTTCTTTGCTTGAATGCCCATTGATGGAGCAAGCTATTGGTATTGAGGGAAGATGGTGGGGTTCTTCCAAGGCCCAGGTGCAGGATCTCGATGCTTTTCTCTTCTGTTGGCATTGCTTTCGATAGGGTTTTTGAGGCTCGAAGGGCATCATCGTCGATTCTTCTTCGGTTATGAACTGGTCAACGAATCTATTTACGAACGTGGTGATTGTCGGGGGCCATGGATAAAATTTTGACAGTCAAATGAGTCTTAAAGGAGAAAGAATTTGAGTGGGTTCCTCGTTTCCAGTGTTCTTTAATGGAGGAATTAGATAGAGCTCTCTCTCCATCTCCCTCTTCCTCTCGCTTCCTTCGTGTGGTTGGGCTCATCGTTGAAAAAATGCATACATGATGACGATGCGATTTCTTGCATGGCTGAATCCCGTAGTTGACTTACGAGGGAAGGATCAAAAGCTTCAACGTCAACGAGTGGAGATAAAAAAAAGAGCGAAGGGAAACCCTTTTCCTTCCGTTGCCGGGACTTGAACCCGGGTCTCTCGGGTGAGAGCCGAGTATCCTAACCAACTAGACTACAACGGATTTGAATAACAAAATGAAAACCAGAAATTCTAAATTGTGCTAAAAGCTTTATGTTTCCAACCTTGCGTTCTATAATTTGAGGTGACGAGGCTTCTGCACCTAAACCTCCTAGGTTTCATCAAGAGCTCAAAGGAAGGTTCAAAAGGAGATTGACTTATTTGATGTTTATCTAGCATAATTTGAATTCGTACCTAGTCAAATTGATGTATTTCTCTATATTTTCTGAGTAAACTTTTCATATTGGCTGTCACAAAAATTCTAACAATAAATATAAGTCAAATAACCACAAACATAATATTTTTACATATTGGAATTTTTACATTACATGAAAAATATTTTTTGTGAGAAGGAAATTAAATAAGTACAAAAACTAAATATTACCTCCAAACCATGTCAATCAATCAAGGCTCACAATTTCTTCTATTCTTAATTGAAGCTAAAATGAGAAGGAAGAAAAGATGGAAAAAATTGTGTTTTAAGTGATGAAAATACTTATATATATATATATATATATATATATATATATATATATAATGGCATGTGAGATTGTACTTCATAGAAGGGGTCTACTGTTTTACCATTCAAACAATACTAAAAGCTCATTGAACTTTAGTATGCTCACCTAGTGTGTCAACCTACTTAGGTTAAGTGGCATGCCAACGTGTCCAACTAGTTAGTGTGTTGACCCACTATGCAGACCTAAATTTATCTAAGTTGACCCAATGCTTCTATTTTGATCTATCATACATTGTGTTGACTTAGTTTAAAATTCATAGAAACTATTAAAAATTGCTCAAAATGGTAAAGCCTAATGGGAAATAAATTCATCATCTCCCCCTTATTGGCATTTAATATAACTTGCAAGACCACCACTAATAACTGTTTGGAGAAGTATGATGAAAAAATTATTTATGTAACTTGATCATATGAGGAAGTACTAGTTTGTATACGAAATTAGGAAACAAAAGATATAAAGGGTACATTATTATTTTCAAATAGTCTTCATCCAACCTTTAATCCAACTATAATATGGCTATGATCAACTTTTATGTTTCTGTTTTCTTATTATTTTCTGCATCAAAACACTTAAATTGTCACTCCAATAGTAGTCATATTAATCAGAAAACATTCATATATTTTCTTGTAGTCAATACTTGCATCATATTGACGAATTAAGTTACCTAAAATTGTATTTGAATCGCTCAAAATTAACTTCTTCATCATTTTATTTTAAATGATATTCTTAAAGCAATCTAGAAAACAAGCCTTCTACCATGGATATTTTAAATGCTTCGTCTATACTTTACTATCATTAGGAAAACTAAGACATGCATTTTTGAAAGTGATGCACATTGATTGTTGTAGTTAAATGATACACTCAAATTTAAATTTAGAATTGAACTCTTAAAATATAATTGTGAAATATTAGATGAGTCCAGGTTGAATATATAGGATTTTTTCATTTTTTTTAATACAAATCTTGTGTCTACATGGATAAATCATTCATAAAATAATCAAATAATAGTATCTAGAATGAATAATTTATTTTATAAATATTTTTTTTATTTAATTAAAAGTTAGATCAAAATAGAAGTTAGGGTTTAAGATGATGACACTACATTTGATCCATAAGGGCATGAAGAACATCCTCTGTGATGGAGAGAAAATAAAGAGGATAAAGAGAGAAGAGAGAAAGAGAAGGAAGACAGAACAAGAGAGAGGAAGACGATTGGGGGGAGAGGGTCATAGGAGAGTGAGGAAAGAGGGGAATGAGAGAGAGGGTGATAGCAGAGAGAGGAGAGAGGGAGAACAGTGCAACAGGAGAAGGGAGAGATGACCAGCCAAAGGAAGTTACTAGTTAAAAATCACACATAAGAGTGAGGAAGGGATAAAAAAATAAAAAATAAAAAAGGTAATTGAGAGAGAGTTCTCATTTGTGGAAGGAAGATCTTGTTGGTGGAAGAATTCGCTAGTGAGGATGGAGGAAGAAATAAATGAAAAACAAAACAAAAAAAATTAATCATGAAGATAATGGAGAAAAGAATATGTGGGACAAGAGAAAAGAATATTGGAAAAAAGAGAAAATATGTCGGCAGAGAGAGATACTCTCCAACAAAAGAGTCTTTGCCATCAAAACATTATTGTCTGAGATACAAAGAGAAGACCAATGCGAAATCAATAGAAAATAAAAGGCAAAGAAGTGGGGAAGAGATTGAAAAAGGGATAGAAGGGGAAAAAGCTTCAGAATAAGAAGAAAATTCACTAAAAAAAGGAAGAAGTTGTGTTGGAAAGAAGCTTCTCTTTAGCATGAGAAAAATCACAATGTCTAGTGAATAAAAGTGGCAAAGGACAATTGAAATATATATATATATATATATATATATATATATATATATATGTGTGTGTGTGTGTGTGTGTGTGTGTGTGTGTAATGAGAAAAAAAATAAAAGACAGAAAGAAAAGAGGAAAACGTATTAGAAAGGAGAAAACTTGCTAGCAAGAGAGAATGAAAAGTGAAGAATAGAATGAGGGATTGGAGAACACAAAAACAACTACATAAATAGTTAGGAAAGTGAAAAACTGTTAAAAAATAGAGAGGTAGCGGGAGAAAGAGAAGAACATGTAGGAAACATAAGAAAAATGAATAATTCCCTGTCACTGAAGAAGAGAGAGCAAAAGACAGTGAGAAGGCCACAAAACACAGCAAAAACTTAAAACATAAATATCTAAAATATTAAGGAAGAGGTGGAGAATAATTTCCTATCTGTCACATTGGAAAAAATAAAGACAAAAGAAAGGAATGATAAGAGAAAGAGAGATAGCTCTGGAAAGAGAAGGGAAAAGAAAAGAGAGGGAAGAAGAGCAGGAAAGAAGAGTTCTCATGAGAAGAGGTACACTATATATATATATATATATATATATATATATATATATAATATGAATGATGTTGCTGTCAGGACTTGAACCTGAATCTCCCGAATACAATAGATGAAGATGGAAATTTTTAAGATAAAGTTTCAAGTAGTTTTGCCAATGTGAGTAACATAACTTCTTCTAACACATCCCACCACCTCTCTCTTAGTGGCATGTAATACCTGTCTGATGTAGCACAAGACACAAATTGAAGTCTGAACTTTGAATTTGGGCCCACTTATCCTAAATTTCGGTCATAAAGTGTAAAGTGCTAAAAAAGGAGCACACATATGTCACTAGTGGGCTGGAGGTCCGAAAAGTAATATTTATTTTCTGCTTTATGTCCTCGCACTTCTAGAAGATACTTTATGTCTCTTTTCTTCTAAAAGAGACTCTAATGTGATTCAATATGTACCTAAGATCTGTTTAAGATCTTTGACTGTCAAAGTCTATACCTAAGATCTGTTCATGATCTTTAACTGTTAGAGTTATTTTTAACTGTCAGAGTCAGAATATTTTTAAATGATCTATTCAAGATCACAGTCACTCATAGTCTGTTTTAAGTCATTTTAGAGTAGAACTCTACTCCTAAAATCTGTCAGGATCTTCTTTTTGGGAGCACCCAACCTTCTTTTAGGCCTATATAAAGGCCCTCGATCATTTTTTTAGTTGAATCAATTTTCTCCACTGTGAAAATCTTTTCCTCTTGCTTGTGGATTCAAGTAACCCCTTGTGGATTGAAGGGTTGAAGACTCTGAATCTGTGAATTCAGATGCAGGTCTCTTTCTTAAGATTAGAGCTTTGTGGATTTAAGCCCATATCTTATTTATCTTCTGTGTTACTACTGTGTCAGTTAGTACTAGAACAAGTCAAGATTTCAATCAAGGTGAAAAATATCATGAGGTAAATCTGCTCATATTAATGATTATGATTCACCTTAAAAAAAATTATCTCAAAATTAAATTCTATTACATTTCAAGATTGAATAGATCAAAAATTTCATGATATTATATCATATACAATGGTATGTGCCTGACAATCAAGTTCAATAGTGTTTTATGCTGTGGTCCATACTTTACAAACATAGGAACACCATTTGATTCAAGAAGAGTTTATTTGATATACTCAACATCAGGCTCTTTAATCAGTCAATAGTCAGACTTCTACTAATATAATGTATGTCAAATCAACCTTTTTTATTCTGATGTAGCCCAAGACACAAGTTGAAGTCTCAACTTTGAATTTGGGCCCACTTATCTTAAATTTGGACACCAGTTAGCTAGAAATTTAAAAAATAATATTTATTTTCTACTTGGTCCTTTCACTTCTATAAGGTACTTTTTATCTGTTTTCTTTTCGAAGATACTTTAATATGATTCAGTCTGTACCTAAGATTTGTTCAAGATCTCTGACTATCATAGTCTATACCTATGATCTATTCAGAATCTGTGACTGTCAAGTCTTTACCTAAGATTTGCTCAAGATCTTTGACCGTCATAGTCTATTTTTGGTCATTTCAGAGTCAGTCAGAGTATTTTAGAAGATCTGTGTATGATCTCAATCTGTCTATCTATTTTAAGTCATTTCAGAGTTAGTCATAATCTACCTCCAAGATTTGTCTACATCCTCTTTTCGGAGAGCGCCCAACCTCTTTTCTTTGCTTATATACAAGCCCCTATTGTAACTTGAGGTCCTCACTTTCTAGTTGAATCAGTTTTTGCTACTGTGAAAATCAAAGGTCCTCTTGCTTATGAATTTTGGCACCCCCTTGGTGGATTCAAAGGTCAAGGACTCTGAATATGTTGATTCAGAGGCATGTTTCTTCCCCAAGATTAGAGCTTTGTGAATTGAAGCTTATGTCTTGTTTATCTTCTACATTACTGTTACATCAGTTGGTATCAGAACAAGTTAATATTTCAATCAAGGTTAAAAAATATCATGAACTAAATCTGCTCATATTAATGATGATGATTCACCTGAAGTTTTTACTATCATAAAATAAGACTTTATTTAATTTCAACATCGAATTGATAAAAAATTTGATTATTATATCACATATGTTAGAATTCACAACCTTTGAAGATGTTATGACCCTGTGAGTCTTCTTCTCTTTTTGGTTAATACATCAAGCTTCTTCTATAAGTGAATGTAATAGTGCATATTTGGTATCAAATTTAATAAAAAAATATTTTACCTCACTTTTAATTTTTAGTTTTTCATATTCTTGATTATCTTCCCTAAGATTTAAGCTTTAAGGATTTAAGCCTGTATCTTTATTATCTTCCGCATTACTGCTGCATCACCTTCAATGTATTACTTTTGTTATTAAACACAAGTTGGTAAAACTTGAATCAAGTTGCAGATACTCTTAGTAGGAAACCAATATGATTGGTGAACATGTGTGCTAAGCTCACTTGATTTAATTATTTCAGAGAATTATACTTAGATGACAATGATTTTTCTCAACAATATATGATCTGCATGTCAGAAATATCAACTAAAAGTTTTCATCTACACGATGATTTTTTATTTCGAGGAACACAGTTATGTATTCCTCGCAACTGCTTAAAGGAGAAAGTGCTACAAAAATTAGACTCTTCAAGTTTTGTAGGAAACTTGGTCAAGACAAGACCTGACAGACAGTTGAGTGATATTATTGGCCCAATTTAAACAAAAGTGTAGAAAATTTTCTTCGTAAATGTCGGGTTTGACAAACCTCTAAGGGACAGTAGATTGACACAATTCATTGCATGTCAAAAAACAAATGATGCAAGTTCAGTAGCCAATCATTTTTTTAAAGAAACTATTCATATAAATGAAATTTTTCAATCAATTACTTCTGACAGAAATTCTAAGTTTTAATCTCATTTTTGAAATTTGGTAATACTAGTCACCCACTAACTGATGGTCGGACTGAAATTTGGACAATTTGATTTGTTCTATTTCAAGAGAAAAGCTAAAATTCATTGTATATAACTTGATGAATAATGTTTGAGTAATCAATTTCTATTTTCAGTGGTATATTATTTTTCTCCAAGAATTATAGTAGATTTATTACAAGTAAAGAGACTAGTTAGTGCTCGTACTGTTGCAAGTAATATGGTAGATCATATCAAAATACTTTTTAATTTTATTCACATGAAATTTAAGGCGAAAATTTAATTTTAATGAAATTTACTGTGATATTTTTGAGTTATATGTAATTCTCAGAAGAAAATAATCTATCATCGAAAATAAAGATTAATTAGTCGAACGATTAATTATCGTGTTATATGCAAGTCTACTTGTGCCAAAACATAATCCTATTATTTTGGCTTTCTTCCTGAGTCAAATTGCCCAGTCTGTAGGATCATGAGGGAAATAGATCAGTTTCCTTTCTATTTATAAGCAATTACTTTCACCTGTTTCTCCTCTAAAATCTTCATATATTAAAAAAATCTTTTAACTTCTGAAATCCAACCAAAAATTTCCTCTATTGTCGAAACTAGGCAAATTAATCTTCTTTTATAATCTTTACGATAATCATAATCACATCTACTTTTGAGCTTCCTGTATCATATTTATTTGCTGCAAAGTATCATTTAGATCGTTAAATTTTTCTTTCCTGAGTCTTGAAATCCACAAACTCTTATATTCAAAAGGACATACCTCAGAAATTTCATGATCACTAATGTAAATTTGAATGTTGAATGCAGACTTAGCTCTGATATCACTCCACATAGTGGAAACTGAGAAGGGCAGGTCCCATTGCTCCAGTTGCTGGCCCTTTGTTCTGAATCCGCTGGTTTAAGAAGACTGGTCCCTTGAGTCCATAAGGGAGTGGTTCTGAATGCACAGAATCAGGAAGAGGGTTACCAGAGTCCAAAGGGGTAATGGAGTCTTGATTCGCGCACCAAGAAATAAATTTTAAAAAAAGATAATGTTTCCCTAGGGCTACAGGGAGTGCGTTTAAATAGGTTAAAGAGTCTTGATTCGGGCGCGTAGAAATTGATTTAAAATGAAATCTAAATTTTAATTTTGAATTTGATTGAAATTGAAATTTGAATTTCAGATTAAATTCGAGCTAGACTTTCAGCTGCAACAGTGAGTTTCAAGGTGCATTAAGTAAGGTGGGCTTCGACCTGCAGCAGTAATCGAATTTCAGGCTTCTTCAGTAGTGGGCTTCAGGGTTTGGGCTGCATCAATGTTGATGTTATTATTAGTGAAGAGAAAAGGCAGAGGGAAAAAAAGAAGAAAAAATAAAGTCGATAGATTTGTGTATGGTATCGATAATCCAGCAGGCTCAGCTGACATAGCTTAATCACATTTCAGCTTTGGCTGTATATTCTGATAGCAGTATCACGAGTTTCAATCTGAAATGAATGCGTCTTGATTGAAAACTCCTTGCCTTGAATCCATAGAACGAAGATATTTCGCCCCTTGAGTTTCACAAGGGGTTAATCCTGAGTCCACAAGGTGAATCTACTCATATTGGTGATAATGATTCAGATTTTATTGCTTTTCAAGATCGAATAGATCAAAAATTGGATCATATTCATGATACCTTGAAACAACTTTTGGAAAGAATGAGTCTATTAGAGAGTCATTCACGTCTTTAAAAAGCCACTCACTCTTGTCGACTCTTCATCAGATACTCATTGTTCCTCTCGTTCTACAAGTTCTGGATCAAGATTTGAAGAAGATAATTTTTGAGATTTTCGTATGAAGATTGACTTACCAGGGTTTAATGGCCATTTTAAGATGGAAGAGTTTTTAGATTTGTTGAAGTAGAACAATTTTTTAAGTATATGAAAATTTCTGATGAAAAAAAGGTCAAGCTTTTAGCTTATAAACTGAAGGGTGGGATCAACTACAGACAACACGTATGAGGTAACGGAAAGAGCCTTTATGATCATGAGAGAAATGAAAAATTGTTGAAATCAGTTTCAAGAGAATGAACAAATTTCTGATTATGAACAATTTTTTTATCAACAAGATGAACACTGCAGACAAGGGAATAGATCGGTTTCTGATTATGCTGAGGAATTTTATCATGTATCTTCTTGAATTGACTTGACAGAATCCGAGTCATATACGATTTCGTGATTTAAAGGTGGTCTCAGATAGGGAATTGAGGATAATGTAGCTGCATAGTCATTTTTCAAGCTTAATGACATCGTAATGGCTGCAGAGTGTGCTGAAGGCTTATTAGAGAAAGGAAAACCTGAATTTGAAATTTTGGATTTAAGTATTCAACTCTTCAGCAAGAAAGAGGAAGATCTACTGTTGTTTCTTCTACACCACATAATGGACAGTTGAATCAAAGTTTTGTCCGATAAGGTGGAGCAAACCCTTTTGCCTAAGTCTCTACTAAAATGAATCCTTATACTCCTAATGTCATTCTCAAATGCTAAATATGGCACAAATGTCTGTCATAAACATGGCACAGTAAACCTTGCAGATTCTATTGAAGAGGAAACAGAACATGAAGAACCAGAAATTGAAGGTGAGGTAGAAGATTTATTGTGGTTGTTTATTGTATTAAATTTAATACTGGAGATGTACTGTCACATTCACTTGTAGTCGTATTGATGTATTCACCAAAAGAAAAGATGACCCAGAGTGCCATAATATTTTCAGAAGAAATTGCACTGTTTAAAAAATAGGTTTGCAGACAAGCCCACACCCTCATCCATATCGAATTTGTTTGGCCAATAAGGAAACAGAAACTAAAGATCGAGAAACCGGTCTAATCAAATTTTCAATTGGCAAAACCTACTCTGATGAAGGACTGTGATGTTGTTGACATGGATGCTTGTCACATGATATTAGGCAGGCCATGGCAGTTTGATGTTGATGCTACACACTGTGGCAAGGAAAACATTCATATTTTCTATAGAAATGGTAAGAAAATTTTCTTGGCTCCAATGCAGGACATGGATTTTTGTAAAGGAGAGAAGGAGAAAAGAAAAGTAATGATCTCAACCAGAAAGAATTTCTTAAGGAGTTTGAAATAGCTGATGTGATACCAAAACCTGATCTCAATCAATGCGAGATGTTCAACATCGTATTTACTTGATGTTGATGCTTTACTTCTTCCGAAGAAAGATGGTAATTGGCGAATATGTGTCGACAGTATAGCTATGAACAAGAGAACGGTTAACTACAGATTCCCAATTTCACGCCTAGATGACATGTCAGATATTCTTTGTGGTTCTAAAATTTTCTCAAAAGTTGATTTAGAGAGCGGATATCATCGAATCAAAAATCGGCTAGGTGTTCATGAATAGTTGGTCATGGCTTTCGGCTTATCGAATGCCCCCAGTACTGTTATGAGAGTGATGAATCAGCTTTGGAAATCTTTTATTGGTAAATTTGTTGTTATTTATTTTAATAACATTCTTATTTCTCAACTGTTATGAGAGGATGATGATTTTTCTCAACAATATATGATATGTACATCAAGAATAACGACTAAAGGCTTTCAGCTACAAGATGGTTTTTTATTTCGAGGAACACAGTTATAGGCTGAAAATTAGTCATAAGTAACCGATAAGTGGAAATTATCTTATAAAATACGGAGAGGAAAACAGAATTGAGCAAAACTAACGGATATTTTAGAAGGGTTATGTTAGAAGGCCCCTAAGAAATAAAAACGCCCTAAACAGAATTGACGGATTTTTTACATGAATAAAATGTGCAAATTGTAAGATTTATGCTCACTAAACATGTGACCGGATCTCTTAGTAGACCATTTGAAACTGAATTTGAGCAAAAGATAGTCTTCATGTTTCCTGAGTTTCTGTTTCATTTGAGTTGGTCTAAAAAATCATTGCACTTCATTCTATCATTTTTTAACCTTTTCGATGCAGATGTTAATAGTTCCTCCACTTGGGTCAAAAACTTTATAATTCTCATTTGACAGCAGTTTCTGGGCGACATCATCAGCAATACCTTCCAAGTCTATATGACAACATATTGACTATATTCATAGTTGGATTATAATGAATAATTTGTA